CACAAGGTATAGGCACCTCATTAATGACCAAAAAAGTTATGGAGAAACAATTTGTTCAAAGTCAATTGGAAGATGAATAAAAAAGAGCAAATGATTTAGAGATAGAAGTACAAAGATTGACTAATACTAATATTCAACTTCAACGTGAATTGCAATCTCAACTTGAAGTTCAACGAGGTTACTATGAAGCAAAATATTGAAAAAGAGATGAAGCGTCAAATGTCTATTTTATTAGGTGGTTTATCATTCACGGGAATATCTAATGATTCAACTGTTTCCTCAAATGAAGTAAGTTGTTTGACTATTTTAATTTTTTCACTAAAATATCTCCAAATTTTTAGTTTACATATTTATATATCTAAAATATTGTTAATTATTTTTTATTAATACTAATTATTTTTTATTTCATTTTACAGGATCAAATTCGTTGAAGATAGTTCAAGTTGTTATTATTATTTTTTTATTTTAGAAATAGTTATTTAATTGTAACTGATCTGGACTAAAAATATATACGAGTTGTTTATCATCTTTGAATTTAGAATCTTGTTAAATATTTATTGTGTTTTAATTTTTATCATTTATAATGTAATGGATAATTTATGTTTACATATTTGTTTTTATTTATTCATTATAACTAAGCAAACTTAGAAGACTTGTATATTATTTATATTTAATAATTTAATGATTAAATAATAATTTTAAAAATTAATAATAAAATTAAAAATTAATAATAACAGCAAATATTAATATTAAAATTATTCTTATTATTGTTAGTATAAAAAAATATAAATAATAATAATAATTATTTTAGAAATTATAATAATGATAAATAATTACTATTATTTATTTGGGACATTAAATTAATAATAATTATTTCTATAAATTATAAATAATAATTAATTTATTATTGTATTTTTAAAATATTTGCGATATTGAAATAATTATTTTTTTATAAATTTTTTATAGTTATAACTTTATTTATCACTATTGTGTATTATATTTGTGACAATTTATTATTATTACTATTATATATAATTATTAGTGTTAAATATTTTTGTTACTATAAAGCTTAATTTTAGTGATATTTAAAAATATTGTTACAATTATATTAGTGACATGGGTATAAGTGACAATCAAATTATTGTTACAAGATATTAATAGTGATGAATTTATAACTTTTAGTGATAAATATTTATATCACTATAATTAATTTTTTTGTAGTGTGTGAAAATAAGAGAAAGAAAGGATATTTGTGTCATCCATCAGATGGAGAAGCATGTATTTGTCCTATATGTTGTACTTTTGGACTTATAATGTATATGTGAATTATGGAACCCTTGGACTATATTTAGGTATGGAAAGAATGTAACATTAGTTAGTTCAAATTTGATTTCATGGTGTTGTTTATGCTGGAAGAGAAAAATAGTTATTACATTACATATTGTCATGACTTGACGAACTTCTTTTCTTTTATGGTGGATATTGCACTTCTAAGTTTGTGTTTTTAACCATATTTTAGACAAAGTTGAATGGAAAACCCCCTACCTAACAGAGTTATTTCGCAAAACACACAAACAAAAGGATAACACATGGGTGGATCAAAGATCAGCACATGTGGATGTAAGTTCCTTATTTTTCTTCATATGTTAATTTCTTAAATAATTGTGTCCTTTTTTATGTTTTTATCCAATTAATTATTATTCTATTTTATTGCTTATAGGCAGAATTTAGTCATGCATGGGAAGAAGCCTCCCAATCAGGATCTATTGCAAGAGGCTCTTCGCCTGATGAATTACAGGTTTGGTGTAAAGTTGCTGGAATAAACAAAGGCAAAGTATGGGCTTGGATCTGAGTCAAGCAAAGCAATTGGGAGAAATCTTTGTCAGGACTCTACTTCATCATCTGTCTAGCTTATGAGCGAGGAGATTGAACAATTAAAACACACGTTACATGAAGTTGAGACTGAAATGGATGATCTCAGTGAAAGAATGTTAAATAATGAGAGAAAAATTTAGAAAAGTGATAAAATGTTGTTCCTCTTGATAGATGGATGTTCAACCTCCTGAATTGTGAACTAATACTTCTATTTTATATATTGTATTTGTTTTGTTAGTTTCTAAAATGTCCAAAATTATGACTCTTACTTTAGTTTATTCTACTTACTTTTAGATTGAATTTTTAATATGCAAGAAAGTATTTAATCCATGAATGATGAATTTATTTGGAATAAAATTTGTTGTATTATTTTGATGGTTATCTCAGGTAGTGTAATTTTGATATACTTAATACAACATATAATATTATATGTTGTATTAAATAAGACTTTTACATAACATATTTTGGACTTTTTATGTCTCATATAAGACGGACGTTAAAATGGGAGATGTAAATTTACGTTGGCCCCTTTGACCGACGTAAATTCACGTCAATTATTGAGATCCGACGTTAATCTACGTTGCATATATCATTAAACAGACATAAAAGGCTTCAAAAATTTAAAAAATTGGACGAAATTTATGTTGCACTTGTGTATGTGCGACGTAAATTTACGTCGCACTGTGTATATGCGACATAAATTTACGTCGCACATGCACAAGTTCGACGTAAATTTCGTCCTTTTTTTATTATTAGGCTTATTTTATCTTACAACAAAAACCTGCAAACATATAGTATGGCTAGACAGTCCAGATGTTCAAGTTTCTTTAGCTAGTAAATAAAAAATACAATATTATATATAATTCAAACTACAAAAGTTAAATTACAACACCACGCTAGTACAAAAACTAGGCTACTTAAGCTACATAATAAAACAATATAATACAAACAATAACCTATAAACTAAAAGCTATTACAAACTAAAAACTAGTACAAACTAAACTACCTAAACTACACAATACACACAATATAATACCAACAATAACATACAAACTAAGTACTAGAATTGTTGAACAAAAAACCTTGCCCATTGTTATCTAATTTGTGTGGTATCATGTTCTAGCAATGGAGATGGATCTTGAAATACCTGAAACATTAACTTGACTCTTGTAAACATACAACATGCATAAAGTTAAATAAACTTAACTAATGTTGAAAGCAATTACATCCGTCCAAGAATCAGTTATACTCGCACAAACTATGGCTCTCATCCAATATATCCCAAATAATTCTTAAACTTAGAAGCATTTGGGCCAGATGCCTTACCAGAACGTGAATCAACTTCAACTTGAGTTTTCTCTCTAGTTATCCGAGTTGTTGTCAACCCCTTTAACCGGGTGACAGATCTACCTTCACCTCCGCTCCTACCACTACCACTACCAGATGTGGAATCCGACATATCCTGAAAAACAAAACAATATGAAGTCAACATACTTTATAAGTTTGAATAAAAAGAACTAGAAAATGTGAAGATAAACACCTATTATGTTGATATGTTTTCCTATATCCCTTTATCATGATCACTTCGAACGTGTATTCATCCAACTTCGATTCATATCTACCTATGTTATAAATTTTCGTCACTCCTAAAGATTCAAAACTTATATTTTAAAAAAAATAATATACAAACAACAGAGAAAGTGATTGAGACGTAAATGGAGTGTGTAAACCGAAAATGCACTCAAACAAATAAACAGATAACGACATTCACTACAAGAAAAAACGCTATTAGCGACCGACAAAATCGGTCGCTAATGGGCAAAAATCGGTCGCTATTCTGTTAGCGACCGAAATTAGCGACCGAAATTAGCGACCGAAATGGTTGGTCGCAAAAGGGCAAGTCGCTAATTTGTTAGCGACCGATTACATTTCGGTCGCTAAATAGCGACCGATGAGGTGGTCGCTAAAGTGGTCGCTAAATAATTTGGTCACTTATGCATTGAAGACCAAAATAGTGACCGAAAATAATATAATAAATCGGTCGCTAAATCAGTGGTAAAGTTTTAAAAAATAGCGACCGATATATTCGATCGCTAATATATTAATATAATTATTTAAATAATAATTAAAATCGGTCGCTAAATTGGTCGCTAAAATGGAGACAAAGTTAAAAATAATAGCGACGGATATAATCGGTCGCTAATATATTAATTGAATTATTTAAATAATAATTTAAATCGAGTCGCTAAATTTGAATTGTATATTATAATAAATTTGTAGCGACCAAAAATTCGATCGCTAATCTAACCAAATCTAAAAATTTTCGTTTAAAATTTTGTATATCCAATTTGACAAAATTTGTACCTGCTTAATTCATCCAAACATAACACAAATGAAAACTTAAGAACTAAAGTCAAATTATTCAAATCATAAAATTTGTACCGCTTAATTCATCCAAACATAACACAAATGAAAACTTAAGAACTAAAGTCAAATTTTGTATATCCAATTTTACAAAATTTGTACGTGCTTAATTCATCCAAACATAACACAAATGAAACTTAAGAACTTAACAACTACTTAAGATTCAAAGTCTTAATATCATAAAATTAAAAATTAGTCCTCCGGTATATTGTCGAGTGTCATATTGACTTGTAGTAGGAATTTTATGAAGGAAGCCAAGATCTATTAATTATTCTATTATAATAATAATCCTAATTAATAATTGAAGGTCATTCTTTGAGGAAGTCAAGATCTGTCGATTCTGGATCAATGAAGGTGTGACTCGAAACTGCTCAGCTCCTTCATTCTTCAATTCTCTGGCCCATTTCACTCTTTGGGATGGACAGAAACCGGTCCAGAACACCTGCACTCTTATCAAATTACTCCAAACTTGTTCAACTCAATAAACAACAATTTTATACACTTTAGACCCTCTTTCACTTTGATGTTTTTATGAAATTATCAACAATTTTGCTGTCAGATCCATTGATTTAATGAGTATAAGAAGGCCTTGGTGATGATAACAATACTACAGAATGGAGTTAGAAATGATTTCCTGTATTCATAGAAGTAAGAAGTTCTTTCATTCTCAACTTTGCCCCAATTATTCCACCTCGCAGGCTTTATACATTGATCCATGAAAGTGAATGCAAAAACCACTCTTGCAAAAGGTCTCCATGGTCTTCCCGGATATGCATATGAAGTTCCCCCATTACCTGTGACAACACATCCGCAATGACACCACAAACAAAACATCATGTAAGGAACCAAAATGTTCACAACATAATAAAAGTACTTTACTTGTGTAGTATCCTTTCTTGGACTCGGAAGTTTAACGATTAACACACCAAAGAAACACCGTAAAGGGAGAGGAGCAAAATATTGACAAGGAAGCATAGAGTAGTATGAGATTCAAAGATTTTTATTCTAAGATTTCTTACAGGATTCCCGAATTCATTGAATTTTCAAGGGATCATTTCCCTAGCTTCAAGAGAATCTGGTTCTTGTTTTAACCTAGAATGTTTTTTTCTAATTAAATACTCCTAAATCCGTGTTAGCCATGCTTCTAAACATTTACAAACCAAACTGCAAAACTTAAAAGCAAGATCATCTTCAAAACCAAGCATTCTCTCATTATCTTAATCAGTTTTCATAAACATGACTCAGTCATGATGATAAACTTCAACCTAGGTACTTACTTGATTTCACATCGGAAGAACTAAGAGAGAACATATTTTGCCTTGGAATTGGAAAACAAAGTAAGAGTCACTAACACTCGTTGTATTGTAGGGGAAACAAGATGATTGGGAAATGTCTCTTTCCTTGTTAAACAAGTTACAATGACTAAAAAAAATATTATGTGGGAAGATGATGTTGTAAGTATTAGGCATGATCACACACCTCGGGAATACATAACCAGCTTTTTCCTGTGGAGAGTTTCTGCTCTGTGCGATTATAAACCCTGTGGACTTGCAATGGATGTGACAATGTTCCAAGAGTGCAGTACTATTACCAAAAATGAAGTCCACACTCCCTTCAATGTAACAATCTTTCAAGTATTGCTTTCCATAATGTAAGTACAAGTGTGTCCCGTACTAATCACAAAATAAGTTTATTTATCACCTTGGTACCTCAGATTTTCCTCAAATGAAACGAAGGATAATGGTGTACAAAACCATCTAGCCTAACAATCATGGCCTCTTGTTAATTGAAGATCTTATTATGTTTACGCAACACACACTATAAAGGATACATCATGCACACATAACTTTCTAAAATCAAACTCGAATAAAAATATGAAGACAAGTGAAGCACCCGCCACCCAAGGAACCTCGCAATTATAGAAAGCACAACGATCTGCTGTTACTCCGAGTGCCACTGCTCGCCCCGCACCCTGCTAGGTAAAAGAGGGAAACAAAAGAACAATGTGCACAAGGTCTCTGCTAAAATTCCTTCATATTTTAAACATAACAATGGTGTTCATATTTTAAACAAAACAAAACAAGTTCCCAAATTGGTCTGTCAAGCACCACCAAATCCGCAGTAAGAGGGATCTCGAAGAACCTATCTACTTCAGAAATCCACCTACAACAAACTATAAAGAAATTCTGTCAAAATTATCTCTCCTATATTATTCACAATGCAAGAGAATAACAAGTATATACATTCAAACAAGCCAAACCTTGGTTGAGGGTGTCGAGGTCAGTGAGGAGGTTAAGAACAGAGGTGTGGCGCGGTGGCTCACGTGGTGGCGTCCGGTTGACGAGGAGCTTTGGTGGAGGTTGGATTAGGGTGAGGGCTGACTTGGGGGGAGCAGTGAGGGGGCTAGGGCTCGCCGGGAGTGAGGAGGAGATATTGGCCAAGGTTAAGAGGAATGAGTGAGTCAGGCGCGAGAGTTTGGGGATAAGTGGCGCGAGATATGAAAGTGAAAAATGTGGTAGTATATGATAGCAGTTAAATCTTAACCGCTATTATAATAGCATTTCTAATAGCGGTTAAAACTTAACCGCTATTATATAGCACGTCTAATAGCGGTTAAATCTTAACCGCTATTTTATATTTTCAAATATGATCGATCATTTGAAAATGTACTCGATCATAACCAAAAAATGTGGATGTCGCTCGAGCGAGACAGTGTCGCTCAAGCGAAAAAACACCCGAGAAGGCCAATTTTGTGCAGGTGGCGTCGCTCGAGCGAGACCATTGTCGCTCAAGCGAAATACAACCCGAGAATGCCAATTTTGTGCAGGTCGCGTCGCTCGAGCGACCTTATTATCGCTTGAGCGAATGTTGACCTGCGTAAACGTCGATCAAAGTTAGCCGGATAATGTAACATGGGAGACCTCATGTTAGAATCGGATGTCGCTCGAGCGAGTATGGTGTCGCTCAAGCGAAATACAACCCGAGACTTCACAATCTTAAAATATGGTTGTATATGATAGCGGTTCCACTGGAACCGCTATTACAAACCACTTCTAATAGCGGTTAAACCTTAACCGCTATCTTATATGCACTTAAGATAGCAGTTAACGTGGAACCGCTATTATATCCACTCAATTATGATCGATCATTTCAAATTATGATCGATCATAATTAAAACTTACATTAACTATTTTTTTGAATATTATGTTTTTAAATTTGCTATTAGATAAAACCTTTCAGAATTCAAAATGTTAAATACTTTTAAATATTTAAATTAACTTTATCAAAAATTAGGAAAAAAAATTAATCCATAAGAGTTCAAAAATGTATTATAATATTCTCAATTTTGAGTTTAATTATATTGTTCATTCTCAAAGTAGAAAATTATATTGTAATTATTTTAATTTAATAAAATATAATTTAAATTTTTAATACTCAAATTAAAAGATTAAATAATAATGAATTTAATTCTTTAAATTGAGTATTTGGAAACTAAAATTATAGTTTCTCTGTTTTAAATAATTAAGATAAATAGTTAAAAATAGAAATCAAAACTAGTATTATCTTCAATTTATTAAAAGTGTAATTAAATCTCTATTTTCTTTATTTTTTTGTTTCAAACTTCTCAATTCTACATTTTTGTAACTTCTATCATTATATTATCATCCTCATCTCCTCTCATGTTCAACTTTATCTTTACAATAGTTAATATTCTTAAATAATGTATATTTTTAATTATAATTTTTGAATATATATTTTAGAAATTAATCAATTCTAATCTATTATTTGAAAAACTAATCAATTCTAATCAATAATTTAGAAAACTAATCGATTATAATTAATTGTTTGAAAAAATTATCAAATATGATCGATCATTTTGAAGATCTGATCGATCAGAATCTCAAAATCTTGTTGTATATGATAGCGGTTCCACTTGAACCGCTATTAAAAACCACTTCTAATAGCGGTTAAACCTTAACCGCTATCTAATATGCACTTAAGATAGCGGTTAACGTGGAACCACTATTATATCCACTCAATTATGATTGATCATTTCAAATTATGATCGATCATAATTAAAACTTACATTAACTATTTTTTTGAATATTATGTTTTTAAATTTGCTATTAGAGAAAACCTTTCGTAATTCAAAATGTTAAATACTTTTAAATATTAAAATTAACTTTATCAAAAATTAGGAAAAAAATTAATCCAAAAGAGTTCAAAAATGTATTATAATATTCTCAATTTTGAGTTTAATTATATTGTTCATTCTCAAAATAGAAAATTATATTGTAATTATTTTAATTTAATAAAATATAATTTAAATTTTTAATACTCAAATTAAAAGATTAAATAATAATGAATTTAATTCTTTAAATTGAGTATTTGGAAACTAAAATTATAGTTTCTCTGTTTTAAATAATTAATATAAATAGTTAAAAATAGAAATCAAAACTAGTATTATCTTCAATTTATTAAAAGTGTAATTAAATCTCTATTTTCTTTATTTTTTTTGTTTCAAACTTCTCAATTCTACATTTTTGTAACTTCTATCATTATATTATCATCCTCATCTCCTCCCATGTTCAACTTTATCTTTACAATAGTTAATATTCTTAAATAATGTATATTTTTAATTATAATTTTTGAATATATATTTATAAATTAATCAATTCTAATCTATTATTTGAAAAACTAATCAATTCTAATCAATAATTTAGAAAACTAATCGATTATAATTAATTGTTTGAAAAAATTATCAAATATGATCGATCATTTTGAAGATCTGATCGATCAGAATCTCAAAATCTTGTTGTATATGATAGCGGTTCCAATGGAACCGCTCTTAAAAGAGCACTTGTAATAGCGGTTAAACCTTAACCGCTATCTAACTATATTTTATTTATTTATTGATACATTTTTTCATCAGATATCGCTCGAGCGAGACTATAGTCGCTCAAGCGAAATACAACCCGAGAATGCCAATTTTGTGCAGGGGCGTTTCGCTCGAGCGACAATGGTCTCGCTCGAGCGAGATACATTTTAGATAGCGGTTCCACAGAACCGCTCTTAAAAGTGCACTTATAATAGCGGTTAACCCTTAACCGCTATCTAAATTATAGTTTAGATAGCGGTTAACGTGGAACCGCTATCATATCTTCTCAATTATGATCTATCATTTCTAATTATAATTGATCATAATGAAAACTTACATTAACTATTTTTTTGAATATTATGTTTTTAAATTTGCTATTAGAGAAAACCTTTCAGAATTCAAAATGTTAAATACTTTTAAATATTAAAATTAACTTTATCAAAAATTAGGAAAAAAAAAATCCAAAAGAGTTCAAAAATGTATTATAATATTGTCAATTTTGAGTTTAATTATATTGTTCATTCTCAAAGTAGAAAAATATATTGTAATTATTTTAATTTAATAAAATATAATTTAAATTTTTAATACTCAAATTAAAAGATTTCGTTGCATGAGGTTTCTTCACTTAAAAGATTTTGCAAAATGCCTCTAAAAATGTTTTTAACAATTAAAAACAAAGTATTTTGACAAAAGCTTTCTCAAACAAGTTTTTAACTAATACAACTTTGATAGAACCGATTAAAATTACTTAAAATGTCAAGTGAAATGTTTTTACAATATTTTAATCGATACAACTTGATTTTAATCGAGTAAAACCACTTAAGGGTTCAGGATGATCGATCAGAATGAAATTATGACCGATCAGAATCAGTTATGATCGATCAGAATTTAGTTATGACCGATCAGAACTATTTTAATCGATTAAATCTCGTTTCAATCGATTAAAACAACTTAAAAATTTCTACACAGCGTTTTAATCGATTAAAACGTATTTTTATCGATTAAAATAACTTGAAAAGTTTTACAAGAAAGTTTTGCAAGTATTTCAATCGATTGAATCGCTAAACAATCGATTAAATCAACTTAGAAGATTTTTTGTAAAGTGTTTTAATTGATATAAACGTTGTCGTATTAGTTAAAACAAATCTGTTAAAGAATCAAGAACGTATTAATGGATTAAAAGAAATTTTAACAGATTAAAACTGCACTTTTAACATATTAAAAGAATCTTTTAACAGATTAATTAAACCAGCAGTTTTGAAAATCTTCTATAAAAACAGTTTGGCTTGAACTTTTTTAACATACATTGAATATCATCTTTTACACATCCTTGAGCAATCAATCAAGCAAACTTCAACACTCTTTTCAAGAAAGATTCGCATCAGCTTTTGAGAAGTTCTTTGAAAATCTTTCTTGAGGCAACTTGATTTCTTTTGAAGAAGAAACACTTACAGTAGAATTGCATAAACTGGTTTGAGCATTCTAGTTTCTTCTTTTTCATTTCTTTACATTCTTTTTGTATTGTTTGGTGCTTGGAATTTGGGCACTTGGTTTCTCTCAAGTCTGGAATTTGGTTGTAGAGGTTATTAAGAGCTGGAATTTGGTAATACAGAAAACATTTCAGAAAGCAAAATGTTAAATACTTTTAAATATTAAAATTGACTTTATAAAAAATTATGAAAAAAAATTAATCAAAAAGAGTTCAAAAATGTATTATAATATTTTCAGTTTTAGTTTAATTATATTTTTCATTCTCAAAGTAGAAAAATATATTGTAATATTATTTTAATTTAATAAAATATCATTTAATTTTTTAATACTAAAATTAAAAGATTAAATAATAATAAATTTAATTCTTTAAATTTAGTATTTAGAAACTAAAATTATAGTTTCTCTGTTTTAAAAAATTAAAATAAATATTTAAAAATAAAAATCAAAACTATTATTATGTTAAATTTATTAAAAGTATAATTAAATCTCTATTTTCTTCATTTTTTTAATATAAATTTTTAAAATATAATTTAATTTCAATTGAAATTTTCAATTGAAAAATAAATTCAAGAATATTTGTTATTAAACTTTTCTTAAACAATGTATTGAATAGTTAACATCACTCTAGTCTTAATTTATTACAATTTAAATTTTTAATAAATTTGATTTATTACAATTCATTTTGTTAATATTGAGACCAAAGTTTATTTTTAAAGTATATTTTAAAAATTAAAATATTGTTAAAAAATAAATTACTTTTAAAAAATAAATTGTAAAATATATACTAAAACAATTAAAGTATATTTATAAAAAAAATTAAATATAATAAAAAAATAATATTCATTAGCGATCGATTTCAATTCGGTCGCTATTTTCTCATTAGCGACCGATTTTAATTCGGTCACTATTTCAATTTGTAATTCGGTAGCTAAATCAGTCGCTAAATGATTTTTTTATTTTAGTATGAAAATAGCCACCGAATTAGCGACCGAAATTTTGCGACGCAAAATATTGGTCGCTATTTCGGTCGCTAAATAAAAAAGTGCAAAATAAATCATATTTTGGTCGCTAAATCGGTCGCTAATTGCAACCGAATTAAAGTGGTCGCTGAATCGGTCGCTAATTGCGACCGAATTAAAGTGGTCGCTAAATCGATCGCTAATTGTGACCAAAATTAAATCGGTCGCTAAAGCGGTCGCTAATTGCGACCGAAAAAATTCGGTTGCTAATTTTGGTGGCTAAATGTGTTTTTTCTTGTAGTGATTCCAATAACAATCCAGTGGAGACATTCATGTAATAACGTGATTGAGATCCCCAAAAACAATCATGAATTTAATATGAACATATAACAGGAGACATAGAACACTAACCTTGAGTATACACGAAAACAATTTAAAAATCGAATCCAATCGGAGAGAAACGTCAAATTCAGAAAATGGGACACAATTCATAGTAAAAAATGGTGTGGAAAGCGTTATTATCGTCATCGTCCTCACCGTCATTCTAAAAAACCCTTGCTGTGCGAGACGAGGGAGTGGCGCTAGGATTGAATAAAACACAATTTTTACGTCAGACCCAAAAGGAGGTGACATAAAAGTTGGACCAATTTTTATGTCGGACTCAAAAGGAGGTGACGTAAAAGAGCTCTTTTACGTCAAACCCCTATTGGTCCGATGTAAAAGAGTTCTTTTACGTCACCCCTTTTGGGTCCGACGTAAAAGTTTTGTCTCATATTTACAAAATTGTCACCGTATTTTTTTAAGTCAGATATTTTTGGATCCGACAAAAATAAGGTGACGTAGAAATGTCATTTTGCACTAGTGAATGTATTTCATATTTCTTAACCAGGTTTATCATTATTTTAAAAATAATATAAAAAATAAAATAAAATTAGTGACCAATAGTGATCGATTCGGTCATAAAATCGATCACTAATTTGGTAACAAAATCGGTTACTGATTCGGTCACTGAATCGGTCACTGATATGGTAACTGATTCGATCACATAAATCAGTGACCAAGAAAAGTGTGACCGATTCGAGTTGGTCATAATTTCAGTTACTATTTTAGTTAGTGACCGATTTTAGTCATTTAGTGACTGAATTTTCAGTCACTATTTGTTGTTTTTCTTATAGTGCTATTATTTACTGTTTTTAAAGAAAATGATGTGTGGTAATAGGTACATTCTTATAATTGTGTCCTTGTGAAATACGGATTAACTATACTGCGTTAGTTTAATAATTTATTTATTATTTTTTATTATTATTTTGTGCAATCAAAATATTGTCATCATGTAACGACACCATTTTTTTCATCATTGTCCTTCTCACCGTCTTCACCATGGTCATCATCGAACTTACCATGCCTCCCCATGCCTTCGTTGGCAAGATTGGGACATTCACTAAACTGGTGGAATTTGCGAGATAATGATTGCATCCGGGTTAGAGGCCACAAGATGGTGAGAATGAAGTATGAGGGGGAGGAAGTGTTAGTTAAAGTTTGTTGTTTAACATGTTAATAAGGCCTTCGTAAATTCTATTTTAGGGGTAGTTTCTCTATTTCTATTTTGTTGCCATGCAGTACGTGGTTTTAGGAGCAGTTTATTTATTCCTGGTTTATCATCATGCATTACATGTTTTTTATTTTTCTATTATGTAAAGATTTATGTAAGAGTTTATTTTTCTATTATGTAAAGATTTATGTAAGACAACTCTGTGTTGATCTCTTGGCAAACGTACCAGTAGTCAATTGTAGTATAATGATTCTTTTAGTAAGAGTGTCGATCCCACGAACGAGTTTAATTAAAATAGATAATTTATCTCAATCGACATATATACAATAATATTCATTTGATTCTTATAATTTATACTAAAATTGCATGAAAGTAATAGAATGATATATAGCAGAATGGTTAGAAAAAGTTTAATAAGAGAAGCTGAGATTGAATTTCATCTATTTCACTTGTTTGTAATCTGGATGAATATAAGTATATAACATCTGAAATTACCAATATTGATGCAACACACAATAATCATATATACTAATTCCTCAAGTATAAAATTCATAAGATCAATCCCTTAAATATCGATTCCTCACATATCCAACAAACTATCCAACATTAAATTCAAGTGTTATAAGCAATTGATATATTGAAATATATTCCTAGCATCACAATATATTAGGTATTTTTGTTCAGATCAGATTTTTATAAATACTTTCAAGTCATATCTAAAAATCACACTCAAGAATCTATTGATCGGATAAAATCAAACATTAAGAACATAACAGAAATGCCAACATTTGAATAGAAATAGAAAAACTATATATAAATATCACCAGATTACATCCAAGTTTGAATCGATTACATTCAATCCCAAAAGAAAAGATTAACCACTCATGATAACCATTGAAATCCTAAGAGCCTCTCTAAGTTAATTTTTTTTTTTTCCTTTTTCTTTCACCTTCTGACTCATGATATAAAAATACTGCACGAGTTCTTGCCTAAGCCAACTGATTCTCTCCTAAGCGAGAAGGTATTTCATGGTGAAGAAAAGTCTTCTTCGCTTGAGCTAAACTATTATCTTTTAAGCGAGAATGACACCCAAAATTGATGGCTCTCTGGACGAATCTCGCTTAGGTGAGGTCTGTGTCACCCAAAATTGTTTTTTCATATTTCTATTTTTTTACCACTCATTTATTTTATATTCTTCTCATTCTTGATTTCAATTATAATTTTTACTTATAACTAGCTAAAATTTTTGAACTATAAACATAAATTCATAAAAACACTGATGTATTTAAACAATTTGGGTAAGCTTTTCTGCAACCAATAAAAGGAAAAAAGGTATAAAATAAATAAATTGAGTTTCTCCAATGTTAAAATTAAATTATGCATTTTAATTTTGAAAAAGTTAAATGAGAATTTTTTTTATAACAAATAAGTACATAAGTTGATTTTAATTTGTGAAAAAACCTCAATTTCTACAAAAATGACTAGTCTGGGATATGTATAAAAACAATTATAGAATAAAGAAACAGCTACTCATCTATTTCTAAATATATTTCAGTATATATTGGAGTATTTATGTTGAGTTAAGATAACTATTAATTTTTATTATTTTTAATAAATCATCTAAAATATTATTTTCTCTCTTTATAATAAATATAATTAAAAAGATAAATATATAATTAACAAATAACAATTGTTACAATATTATACTTTTATAAATAATAGATATTTTTAAAATATATTTTTTCTCACAAAAAACATTTAAAAACAGGAGAAGTTATAAATATCCACAGTCAAGTGACAAAAGAAATAAAACCAGAAATATTCTTCTCAAATATATTTAATGTAAACAAGGAATAAAACAAAACCACAAGTATTCATCTGTTAATTGTACATCATTAAAGGAAAAAAAAATTGAAGACAAATTTTAGAAAATTGAACTTTGTTATCCAAATAGTATTAAAAAAAATGTCAACCTAAAAGGAAGAGCTGAAATATAGATGAGCAGTACAATAAACAAAAAGTAAATTACAAACCAAAATTTAGAAGCAATAGTTTAGGGTAAGGAGAAAAAGAAAATAGAAGATTAGTGTTAGCATGAACAAATAAGCTATAAATAAGAATGGATTCAAAACAATTATTCTAAGCAATGTTTGAAACAATGGAAATAAGTGTTGTCATTTGTTAGGACGAAAAGAAAATCAAAGAAAGTAAGCCATTGCAGGATCAGTATCATAACTCATATAGTGAATTATAGAATACATCACATGCTAAAAGAACACAATATTCAAGTTCTATTACAATCAGCCCAGGCCCAGCACATAAGCTTCCAACCTAGTGAGGTTTCTGAAGGGTAACGCACAGAGCCTTACTCTATCTGGCAAAGGGACTAGATATCAATGATGCAGACATAAAATATACACCATCAGAAAAATTGTCTTAAAATACTAAACCTGGGTATCTGGATCCTGTCTTTCTTGGCCAAATTGTTTCAACAAATTTCAAAAGTTGATGCTGTTGATCTTGTATATCAGAAGAGGAGGGTAACCCTCATGAATCCATAACAAAAACTTCTCCCATCTGTTCAAGAAGTAAAGCTAATCAACTGTCTGAAATATAATAGAAAATATGAAAGATATTTTGGTGACAATAAGGAAAGAATGTGAGAAGAAAATAACGGTCATTTCTCCCTGATTTATAACACGATGATCACAGCTGAGGGTCACGGACATGAAAGAAGCAAACTTGAATTCGTCGACCTCCTCTCAGCTGCTCATGCGGTCAGCAACAGACGACGAAGATAAAAAGAAATAAAAGGGGAAAAATGACAAAGACGTTCTCACCAGAATCAACTGATCACAAGTTATTGGGCATCCTAAGAATATTATGGCCAGAAATAGTTATACTTCCAATGGGTTTCTTGAAATGATATTAACTAGTTTGAATCTGTCTAATTTTCTTTTAAAAAATAGTCTTGCAAAATACAAGAAGAAAATGGTAGGTTTGCACATGAGCAATATCCAACTAAAATACTGTGGACCCTTTATATGCTTGTAAGGGCATGACATAGAAGGGGAAAGTTTTAATATGACTCCAATAGAAAAAGCAAAAAAATAATGAAGGCACATTATTTTTAAAAGAGGGGTGATATTTCCGCAGTCCATACATCCTTAAAAATAATCCAAAAAATTAATATAATATTATTATATTAGTATAATAAATTATAGGATAAATGTTAAGAAAATATTTTTTTCTTTTTTAGGGGTGATATTTTAACAATCACACACCCTTAAAACAACCTAAAAAAATTAATGTAATATTAAATGATATTATTATATTAGTATAATAAGTTGTTGGATGAATGTTTGTATTGTTACGAAAACATTTTTCTTTTTCATGGTGATGTTTTGACAATCAATATATCCTAAAAATAACATAAATAATTAATATATATATATATATATATATATATATTATGAAGTAATATATATATATATATATATATAAATTAAAAAATAAGATCTTAAGACATATAAAAAACATAAATATTTGAAATTTTTATATTTCATCAAATGAAATATTATTTTTATAGATAAAAAATTTAACATAAAAAATAATTATAAATAATTAAATTATATAAATAATAAAGACTAATAAAGTTAATAACACTCTCTCTTAGAGTCTAATGATCCAATAACGTGTCTTATTAAAATCTCATTAAGAAAAATCCTATAGGATTAAAAGCTACTGAAGAAAAAAAAATATACATATGTTCAGTACATTTTTTAAATTCCTTCTCGTCTTAGGAAATAAAAACCGTTCATCTTCAAAAAAAAATTGTAAATAAATATGTCAAATTTATCTTAAACAAATCTTTTAGATCACAATTATTTTAAAATAATTATATTTTATTTTATCTTCTTTAATATATTTTTTTGTCAATAAAAGTTAATATTAAAGATAAACCACCAATTGCTTGCATTATATGATATGATAATATTGATATTTATTTCACATATTAATATGATAATACTGATATTTATTTCACATATTACAATAAAATTACAATGTTATTATTTATAAACAAATATCTTATTTGTGATTCACAATTACAAGGATCTAATAAGTAACATGCATCTGCATACAATTAATTTATATTTCTATAACTCATTAAATATGATTTTGAAACATTTAAATAGAACAAGTTTATTCTCACATAATAATGAAATACATGTTTTACTTAATAAAATATTTTCTTATAAATGAATAATTATATCTTACTAATAAATTTACAATAATTGTCATATCAAGTTTAATATAGTTAAAAAAAATATTAATACTTTTATAATGGTAAAGAAAAAAATAATCTTTATTTTTTTCTTGATATCTAAAAAATCTTTAATTAAATCTAAAGACCTTTTAATAATTTAACTGTATAAGAGAATTAGATTTTATTTAAAGTAAGAATTTTAGACTTATAGATCATATATTTAAAAGTGTTAAATAAATTGGATAAATAACTCTTTCTACAAAAGAAAGATAAAAATGGTGAAATTGTAATATATAAAATACAATTATTTTACACTCGTTTATGGAATGAGGCAAAACAAATTACGTGAGTCTCATAAGTTTTTATCAAAAACTCATAATTTTGTACATAAAATTCAAGTAACAAAAAATTTGACATAATAACGAGTATCACATAAAATTAAAATATTAAATTAATAATAATTACACTATGTATTAAGAAAAAATTATAATAAATAATATATAAAAGTAGAGTAACAATTACTTAATTGTTATCGTGATAATGTATTATGAAATAAGATATGATTTTAAAAAATAAAATTGCAAAACATATAAAAATAAGAAAGAAATAATAGATATTTAAATTTCCTATATTTCGTCAAATATCTTATTTATAAATAAAAAAGAACTCAAATGATAACTTAAACATTACAACTAATTAAATTATATAAATAATAATAAAAACTAATAAAAACAGAAGGCCGCAAAAAACAAACAATAAAAACAAAAATGATTCTGCTAAAGTGACGTGCTTACTTGAAAGAGAAATCAATTGAATATATTTTGGAACTAAGGTTGGGTTCCTATTGCAGCAGAACTTGGCTTTCACTTCTTCTGAGTCTCTCTTTTCTGGAAATTCAATTCCAATAGCAAAACTATGAATATATGTTACAAGCATGACAAGTTCAAACACATCCAGAAACATACGGCATACAAAGAAGACGTTTTTCCTTCCATTTGTTTAACATAATCGAAAGTTTGATAATGCAGCTTCAGAAGCTGTAGTATGTAATAACCATAAGTTCATTCAAAACAACCAATGATGAAGTTCAGTTGTTCCACCAGAGAATGTAGAAAATATACTGCGAGTTTTTAACCTAAAAATGTAGGAAATGCAGAAGAACAGGCTCTATAGCCTGACACAGTAAAACAGACCAGCACTAAAGAAACAAGACAACTCTTGACCATTACAAACATACACAAGATGATATTGTTACTGATGGTGCTAATGAACTAGTTTTACTGATTGAAGTTTGAGAAGTTACGGCCATAATGCCCAGCGAAACTCTGGCCATTGGGAGGGTTAGGCGTGGAGAGTTGGGTTTGCTGTGTTGGTATTTGGAAGGGCTGAAGGCAAATATTCGGTTTGTTTGGGTCTCACTTGGTCCACTCCTGACAACACTACCTAAAAGCCTGCACCATGCCTCCATAATTGTGAAATAAAAGAGATATTTCAGCTCAAAGTGGCGGGGTCACTTTATTTAATCACTTCAATTCTTTATATATCTAAAGCTATCAATATTTATATGACTATGCATGTTTCTCCATTTACATTTAGGAAGTATTCTAACTTGTAAATCCTCTTCTTCAATGTAATTTATCCCAACATTAATATAATTTGTTATTTTTTCAATGGACTAAAATTGTTATATATATAAAAAAAAAAAAAAGGAGAGTTATGAATACAAAATGTCTAAACTGAACCATTTAGAGCTAAACGAAACTTTAAAAGTGATTCAAGCGAATATATTATATAATCGTTGAGATAAACTAAATTAAATTATACAATGCCAAAACATGTTTAACAATCATATAAATTTTAATTCAATTTAGTTTAAATATATTTATTTAGCAGAAAGTTATTTTCTGGACAAAACAGTAACTCCAAACCGGATCAAACTAAAGAAAAAATGACTTTTTGAATAAATTTGGAGGGAAATACAAATTTATATGAGATAAGAAACCGAATTAGAAGGATTATTGTTTGTGTTTCGAAAGTTTCAATCTTTTTTAAACCAGACAATTAATAAAATATATTTCATTCACATACTTGATCATTAAAAAATAATAATACTTATAACGTATAATTACTATAAAAATAAACATAATTTGTTTAATAGTATTTGAGCTATTAGTTTCATAGTTTTAAATGACCCAATAAGAAAAAAAGAGAGTAAAGTTTGTGCTTTAAAATAAAAAGAAAATAGTTGAAATTTGATATTACTCACGGTTCTTAATCCGAAGCCATTTTGATCCGAATTGTGTATAGAAAGAGAAGAGGATGGTTTGGTTGTGCGGGGGAGCTTAAATGGTTGAAGTTGACGTGAGTTTGAATGGTTGGTACCAGAAAATTTGGTACCTTTCTACTTCATACACGTTGCTGTCATTCAGGCTCTTTTTCTTTTTATCTACTACCTATTACTTTTATTAATACATCCATTATTTTTTTATTTAAACCTTTTCAAATAAATTTTATATAAACTATCAAAATGAGTATATAGAATAAAAAATGGCCGTGAAAGTATTTATTTGTTTGACAGTGCTGTTGTTTCGTCATTGGTTACTTGCACAAATTTATTATGCGGAGGAACCACTTTTTGTAATAAAATGACAATTGCCAAATTATGTAGCATAGCATTGACGGATCATACTGCATCGCACAGCACCTAGCAATTAATGTGAAAAGGTTGAGTGCAATTAGTTATTTATTTCCTGGTTTTTCTCTTCTAATCTAGGACATTAATTAAGGCACACTAATATATAATAAGGTACTTTAATTATTGTGCAAAAGAGAAAAAAACTAAAGATATATGCTCAGTTTTTCTGTGGATGCTTTCATCCACAACGACAATAACTCTTTTCCAATTTTGGATTAAGGAAAACAAAAGAGATTATATATTTAAGAAAAAAGTGTTATCAAAAGATATGAAAGTTGTTATTTAAAAACGGAAACACTATGTATGAGTTTTCATCCTATATTTTTCTCTCAAATAAACGAAACCATACTGTTATTTTTCATCCTATATTTTCCTTTGAAACAAACGAAATCTTAAGAAAGTACTTGGTATAGTGCATAGGGAAAAAAACAATTATTTTGTGCATTTAATAAAGGGAGAAAAAAATTAATTTGTAATATCACACATCTATTTTATTTAATTTTTATTAAAATAATCAAATTATACTACTTTTACTTGTATTTTACTAATTTATATTCTACAAAATATTAAAATATTTTATTTTATTTTATTTTATTTTTTATCAATTTATCTTCTCTATTTAATTATTTAGTTTCTTGAGTTTAGGGTGATTCTATTAAAAAAAAATTGATGATATTATTGTACTATTAGAATTAGACATGGTAATGGGGCGGGACGGACAGAGACGCGTTTTGCTTCCTTGATCCCTGTCTTCGATTTTTTAACCATTTACGTCCCAATCTCTCGATTCTAATCTCCGTCGGGGTTAGAAAAGAAAGTTAATTTTCCCGTTCCTGTTAAGTTTCGAGTTTTCATACCCCATATATATTATTAAAAAAATAATTATATTTATAATAAATTAATTTTACTATTTTTATGTATTTTTTATTCATATTAAATATTTATAATTTTACAATTTGTAATTATTATTGATTAAATATATTTTTTAATTTATTATATTTATATTAAAATATGTATGTAAAATAAATATTTAATTATTTTTTATTTATACATATATAAAATATTTATAACATTATTATTATTATTATTATAATACTTGTACTCAAATATTTAAATACTTATAATATTATTATTATTATAATACTATATTCAAATATTTGATTACGTATAAAAATTAATTCATTTTTAAGTTATCATTTAAAAATATGAAATATATAATTTATAAGGAAATATTTAATAATTTAATTCTTATTTAATTAGTTTAAAGTAAAAAAGTTTAAATTATTAATTCTTTATAATCCTTTAAAATATAATTATTTTATTAAGATAAAATTTGATATATGATAAATAAGAATAATAAAATTAAAAAAATGACATAGTCAAACCTAATAAATATAAATTATAAATAAAATAATATTAGTTACTAATAAGATTTATGTAAAATATTTAAAAAAAGATAAAGAAAAAAAATTAACTTTGTATTCATCAAATTAGTTAAAAAGATTGAAAAAAAAATTTCATTGAAGAGATTAAAGAAATGTAAAAAACTGAAAAGTAAGAGAAAGAGAATAATATAAAAACATTAAAAAATGGATAGAAGAAAAATAAATAAATGGTGAAATATAAAAAAATGACCTTATATAATAAAAAAAAAAAGAAAAAAAGATTTTTAAAATATTAATATTTTAAAATTTAAATTTAAATATAAAGTCGGGACTGGAGATGAAACCAGGGTGGGGATTTCATTACCCATCTCTACCCCGACTTTTTAAAGCGGGAAAAATCTGATCTCGTCCCAAATAAACTCGAGTTTTTCTCATTATACGAAAACGGATGGATCACACTATACGAGTTTAATTGTGATCCTTAATTAGAATATAATTTTCTCTTTAGCTTCATAATTTCTAGAGTAGATGATTATGTACTTCATCGTGATCATTAGTTATCATTTATAAATTAACCTAAGAAGTAAATTTATCCTTCCTCTTTATTGCTCCCTATGTTTCCTTTCTTTCTGCCATTTTTATCAGCCACAATTGATGGTCGTTAATGTGAAGTTCGACCACGAGGACTTCTCTTGGAAAACCGCTTTCGAAAATTCCCTCAATCTCCATTTTTATTTTTACTGCAATAATTTTTTTTTTAATAAATTTAAGAGAATTACAGTATATTGTATGCATAACTTATAATTTACCCTCCTCCACAGTGACACCGTCACGTGCTCTGTCGAGGATGGTAGATCCATCAAAAGGTGTTTTCGTTGAGAATGGCAGAATCATCTAATCTTCTCGCGTACTCCCAAATTCTATTACTGTAGTCCATTTGGTGGTTGTGAAATTGAGAATGGTAGATGCAAAGAAAGCCGATGCTGAAGCGTTTTATTCCATCCTGACAACTTTTTGACACCTTTTTCTGTTTAATGCAGACATCTTCTGATTCACCTTCGTCCCACACCCCAACTGAAAATCAAAGAGATTAATAATACAGTTTGTTCCTACTCTATATATGGAGAGTCACTACACAAGATGTTTGGTCAATTTCTAATTTGAAACACATATCCACCACGTGTTATAAGAGCTCTCCATATTCCCTTCAAACACATTCAATTATTTTTAAGTTGATTCAAGATGTAATTGGAAAAACTTTTTCGACAGATTTTTATAAGTTAATATTATTTTATATTCAAGTTAATATGTAAAAACTCTTCCATATAATTTATTAATTTGTGAATGAAAAATGATATCAAAATAATAAGAAATAATGAATAAATAGCTTGTACATGTTTGTTGGACTTGACAACTGTACCCACGTGATCAATCTGTTTATGCAATGAATAGAAAATTAAGTTTTCCTATATAAAGATATCTGATGTTTAATATAATAATATAATAATAATAATAATAATAATGTATTTCCATGTTGAATAAAATGATCTAATTTATTAATTTTTTACCCATGTTATTTTAAGTATTAAATAATATTTATTTAATGTTCATAATTGTATTTTTAATATGATATCATATAATTCGTTATTATAATAATACTCATTTAAAATGATTGATTTGAAATAATATTTTCGTTAGATTAATAAAGGGAACATATACAAAGATCCAAAAAAAATTCCCTGTATAGGTTTTCACACGTTGAAAAACTTTTTTTTTTTTTTTTTTGTCTTTCCTTTATTTTAAGTTGTTTTGCATAAGTTTGAACACAAATGGGAAACCATGTCCAAGTTCCTCATACATTTTAGGCTATAAATACATTCACACAAGTGTCTCACATGCGCTTTCTGCTGCGTCTTTTTTGGACAAACTTATTACAAATACAATGGCTTTCATTCCAAGAACTCGTGACACAGAGTTGTTGTCGCCAGTTGTTAGCAATGGTCATATCTCTACAAAAGAAGATAAGTTGCAGATAGATATTGAAGAGATTCTTCCCATCACTGAGTGCAATGGCGAGACACAACCTAAATTGGATTCCATTATCTCTCACTATATCCAAAGACTAAATAAACTCAACGTGTTGGGTACGTAGGAGGCTTTTTTTTGTTTTTACGTTTTTATTACTTTCAAAACGATGTTTCATTTCATAACTCTTTTCACATCCTTCTACCTACGTTCTTAATATAAAATGCCATGTCAAAGAATAAATGAATTGTTTTATAATACGCCGTACGATAATTAATTAGAAGATAATATTGTTTTATTATTATTATTTATGATATCTTGATACTTTTATTCTTATCTCAATTCAAACTTTTCTTTCTCTTTTTATTACATGTCATCCTATTATTTTAAAGGGATAATTAAATTCTAAGTAAAGCATTTGAAATATTAATTTTCTTTTATCTAATTCACGTCTCTTCTTAATCTTCTTTTGCTTTTCTTATTTTATCTATCTCCTTTTAATAATTATACAAAAATGCTGTGTAACTTACATTATTATCCTTCTTACCATATAAGGCTGTACGAAATACTAATGATCGAGTTTCATGGACTTCAGGTTACCCGGAAAATCAAAACTTCAACTATGGCACATTAGCACCATTGCTTAATTTTCATTTGAACAATGCTGGTGATCCATTTCAAGGGTGCAGTTTCTCCCTGAATTCAACATCTTTTGAAGTTTGCCTGCTCGATTGGTTCGCAAATCTATGGGAGATAGAGAAGAATCAGTATTGGGGATACGTCACAACAGGTGGAACCGAAGGGAATCTTCATGGGATTTTAGTAGGGTTAGTGTTGTTGATATAATTTCCAGAGACTTTTGACGCTTCAAAAATATATTCTAAGAACAGACATTAATTGACTTGCATCTTTACACAGGAGAGAACAATTTCCAGATGGGATTTTATATACCTCACAAGATTCACATTATTCAATCTTCAAAATAGCAAGAATGTATCGAATGCAATGCGTGAAGGTTAGCTCTTCGGACTCCGGAGAGATTAATTGTGATGAACTAAAGACGTTACTTCTTGCTCACAAGGACAAGCCAGCCATCATCAATCTGAACATAGGTCTCCTCTTATCTCTCACTTCACATAACAAATTAATAAACATTTTACATAAAACTTATAAACACTTGCAGAACATGAAAAGTTTCTTTTTGTAGGGACAACTATGAAAGGAGGAGTTGATGACCTTGATCTTGTAATAGAAGTACTCAAGGAATGTGGTTTTGCTCATGACCGATTCTATATTCATTGTGATGGAGCTTTATTCGGAATGATGTTGCCTTTTATCAAAGAAGTAAGTTGTTTACATATAATCATTACATAAAAGCCTCTCTTTCAGAGTTGTTAAGTTGGATACGTGGAGATCATATCATGTTAGACATAGACATTTACCATCAAATGAGGCATTCATTTTGGAACCCAATATTCTGTCTCCTTTTTATTCTGTTCTGTTTACCAACCTTATCCTTTGTAGTTTTGAAAATGAGAAAAATTGTAACATATAGATAACAGAAATTAAAAAAATTACTAGAAATATTTATGCAAACCAAGTACTGTCGAATACATGAACAGTTGTGGGTCTCTCAGTTGGGACTTTATTTCTAGAACAGACAAATTACACCATTTTCTATCTTTTGGGTAGACATATACCAGAAGGAAAATAAACATTGAAATCTTGAACGGATTATAGCATTTCGAAAATATTAAATTTGATCGGATGGTTTTACAGGCACCAAAGATTACCTTCAAGAAACCCATTGGAAGTATAGCCATTTCTGGGCACAAGTTTTTGGGATGTCCAATCCCTTGTGGTATTGTAATAACTCGTTCACAATACATGAACGCATTATCTAGAGACGTTGAATATATTGCTTCAAGAGATGTTACGATCACGGGTAGTCGTTCTGGGCATGCTCCCATATTTCTTTGGTATGCCATCAAAAGAAAAGGTTTCGTGGGGCTTCAAAACGAAGTGCAAAATTGCATAATGAATGCATGCCATTTACAACATCGATTACGTGATGCTGGAATTGGTGCCATGTTAAACAAGTTTAGCAACATTGTTGTCTTTGAAAGGCCTCTGGACGAAGACTTTATCCGTAAGTGGAGTTTGGCATGCATGGGAAACATTGCTCATGTAGTAGTCATGCAGCATGTTACCACTGAAATTTTGGATTCCTTTGTTTCTGAATTTCTTCAAAAACGATCCATTTGGTTCCAAGATGGACGATTTCTACCTCTGTGCATTGCAGATGACGTTGGTTCTAGACATTGTGCTTGTTCAAGACACAATTCAATGTCATGATTAAGAATCTATTATATAAAATACTACATATGTCATTTTATATAACTATGTTTAAGAGGTTTGCTAAACTTGTCTAACCTGCAAAAATGGTTAGCTTTGCTGCATTTTAAATTTGTGCTGTATGTGGGTCTCGTTTGGTCTTGGAGTTTTCTTTCTGACTTGAAAATTCGATCATGAATAAATGATTAGTATTATTGTCATTTTTATTTCATTTTATTTGTTGTATATGCTTTGACTGGTTGTCAATTTGCTATTTTATCTTTTGTGAATCAATAGTCATGTGAAGTCGTTTTCAAGTGGAATAAACTATATTTTCCAATTCACTTTTGTGATAGGTCCATTCCATTCTATATTGAACAAGATGAGTTGAAGTTAGAGTAGGAGGTCTTCTTCACTTATACATATTGCAAGTAATGGACTTGTTTGAGACTATAATCAGGTTGTCAAAACCAACTTGTTTAACTGATTTTCTGGATTAAATAAAAATTTCAAAGGTATAATTTGATTTATATTTAAAATCGAACCATAACTTTTAACTTTATTAAAAATGATTAAAAAAATCACAATTTATAAGAAAAATTAAGATTCTATTATATATATATATATATATATATATATATATATAATTTTCTATAAATCTTATATTTAGATTATTCTACCACTTTGAAAGACGAATCTTTTCAAAATAGTTCTATACCTCAAAAATAATTATCCTCGTTTTCATAGTTTCTATTTTTTGTTCAATATTATTTTTTTTACTGTTATTAAATGAAATTATTAATAAATGACTTACTAATATTAGTTATCGTAATAAATAGAAAAAAATGTGAGAATTTATTTAAAAGGTAAAATAATAACAATTAAAATATATGTAAAAAAAAGGAACGCAGAGGTACGGGAAAAGATACAGTCGCGGGTTGTGTGAGAAATAGACCATATTTACGAGATAGCGTCAAACGAAACGGTTGAGAGGCTCAATAGGAAAAGAACGATTACTTTAGTTTGGTTTTGTCCTCCAGTTGACAAGTATTGAAGATGTATTAAAGATACTGAAAAAAAAAAATCATATCACACTAAACTAAATCCCTTTGTAAAGTCATGCATATAAACTATAGTTATAGAAGTATATGTAACTAACTATATACAAAAATCCATGAAAATGTATTTAAACAATATTTGGACAAGCTTTTCCCACAATCCATTAATGAAGAAGAATTTAAAATAAATAAATTGAGTTTTTCCAATATGTTAAAATTAAATTCTGAACCTTCATTTTCAAAAAGTTAAATGATAATCTTTTATAGAAGATATATATACATAAGATGATTTTAGTTTATAAAAATACCTCTAAAATGACGAGTTTGTGACTAGTATACCATTATAGAATAAAGAAGATAATAAATATCCATAGTGGAGTGGCATAAACAATAATATTATTCTTCGTCGTCAACAAGAAGTACAACTATATATGCGCAGTACAAGAAACAAAAAGGAAAAATTTACAAAGTTTAGAAACATCACTTTAGGACAAGGTGGAGAAATAGAAGATTATAAAGAGCCAAAAATTTGAAGCATGAACAATTAAACTATTGTAGGCAATATTTGAAACATGGAAATAAGTGATGCGTAGGACGAACAAAAAGTATGATTTTTTAAAATAGGTTTTTTACATTAATTTTTTTATCATTAATTTTTTTATCAATAAAAAAATCAACTTTTAAAAAATTGGATCAGATCCAACCATCTTATAACAAAAGTTTAACGAGAAATTTGAATATTTTCTTCGTTATTAACCATAGATTTGATACTATTATAAAATAGACAAAAAAAGACTTTATTTAGGGATGATTATATGTAAACTGTTGTTGAAAAAAAATGTGATAATCATTGTTGAAAAAAATATGGTGATAATTTTGAAATTATTTTTAACTTTTTAATAATGATTAATTTATAATCATCGTCGTATATAACATACAATGTCGATTCTTTTATAACCGTCATCGTATGTAATATATAACAGTTTTAAAAGAATCGTCGTTAAAAACTTATTAGACATATGATGACATTTTTAAATAAATCATCATCATATGTGATATATAACAACAGTTATAAAATAACACTACTACAGAAAACACTTACTACGACAACATCCAACGTCGGTTTTTATGAAGACCGACGTTGTACAAGACGCGGTGGCAAACCTGTAATTAAGAAACAATATTTAACGTCGGTTATAACAAAACCGACGTAGTAATGGACAAATAACGTCGGTTAGATAACAGACGACGTTAAATGTTTAAATTTAACGTCGGTTATGTATAACCGACGTTGAAATCCCAAAATCAATGTCGGTTCCATGATTTACCCGACGTCGAAAGCATTATCCACGTCGGGTTTTTTAATAACCGACGTCGAATGTCCTAACATACCTAGCCTCCAGAGCGCGCAGTTGTTCTTCTGCTTCTTCTTCGTACTCTGTCTCAGTTCCTCTGCTTCTTCTTCGTCATCTGCTACCTCAGTCCTCAATGTCGTGCGCTGCTACCTCAGTTCTCTCCTTCTTCGTCGTTCGTTGTTTGACGTGGTAACGCCGCCCCTCGCCGCCCCCTCGTCGTGCTCTTACACGGCTTTGCACCGCCGTTATTGCCGTGTGTGTGGTACCCCTCGTTTCCCTAAGGAAACCCCTTCTCATCAGGTTAGATTAAGCTGATTAAGTTGTATGGATGATTTACAGCATGCATTTAACATAAATATAGATTATTTAGAGCATTTCCTGCATATGAACATTGGAAAGATGATGGATGATTTTGTATGGTTTGATTTGATCTAGGTTCCTTCAGGCTTTTGGAAGTTTGTTTTCGGTTTCGAACTGGTATATACTAATGTAGATGTACACGTTTTATTTTCCCATTCTTTACGTGGGAAATCAGATGTAGACGTTTTTTTTGTATTGTTTTGCTAAACCTTTTCTAATACACCTTGAATATCTAGGCAAGCCCTTTTGTGTAGTTAGATGGATCGAACTTGGGTCAATGCAAGTCGCATGTCAGAAGAGTATGAGAATAGAGTTGACTCCTTTTTGAAATTTGCCGAAAAAAATGCTCCCAAAATGAATGGAAAAATCTATTGCCCATGCGTTAATTGTGTAAATGGCAGAGTACAAGAGATGGACACAACGCGGGAACATCTTATTTACGATGGGATGATGAAGAATTACACCATATGGACATGGCACGGTGAAGTGGTTGATATTCCAACAGTATCACAAACTATTGAGGATGATGTAACCTACGAAGATCGAATAAAGGACATGTTTTGTGATGTGGGTCAAGAGAGCTTTCTTGAAGCACATGCATCTATATATGATACATTGAGGACCGATTCAGAGACACCTTTGTATCCCGGATGTACAACTTTCACACGGTTGTCATCTATGTTAAGATTGGTCAATCTAAAAGCAAAATTTGGTTGGAGTGATACAAGTTTTAATGAATTACTCCAACTTTTGAAGGAGATGCTCCCAGACAATAACACCTTGCCGGACCGTATGTATGAAGCGAAGAAGATACTTTGTCCGATGGGTTTAGAATATAGGAAGATACATGCTTGCCCTAATGATTGTGTGTTATACAAGAAAGAATTCTCATCTTTAGACCAATGTCCAACATGTGGTGTATCACGTTACAAAGCGAAGGATGGTGATGATTATAGTCAGGAGAGTGGTAAAAAACGTCCTCCTGCAAAAGTTTTATGATATCTTCCAATTATTCCAAGATTTAGGCGGTTGTACGCTCACGAAGATGCTGAAAATTTAATTTGGCATTCAAAGAGAAAAACATGTGATGGGCAAATGCGACATCCATCTGACTCTCCCCAATGGAAGAATTTTGACCGTCTATTTCCAAGTTTTGGTAGTGATGCAAGAAACCATAGACTTGGATTAGCAACAGATGGGATGAATCCTTTTGGAAATTTAAGTAGTAACCATAGTTCATGGCCCGTTTTATTGATGATTTACAATCTTCCACCATGGTTATCCATGAAGCGCAAATATGTCATGTTGTGTATGATGATTTCAGGTCCAAGACAGCCAGGAAATGACATAGATGTGTATTTGAGTCCTTTGATAGAAGACTTAACATTATTATGGGAGGAAGGAGTAGATGCATTTGATGGGTATCAGCAGCAGAAGTTCAAGTTGCATGCAATGTTATTTTGTACCATTAATGACTTCCCTGCCTATGGAAACTTGAGTGGGTATAGTGTGAAGGGGCATTATGCTTGTCCTATTTGTGAAGAAGAGACCAGTTATCTACAATTGAAACATGGAAAGAAGACAGGTTTATAACGAGCACATGAAAATTTCTCCCGCATGACCATCCATACCGTAGACCGAAGAAAGCTTTTAATGGCATACGGGAGGATGAAATTGCCGGAGAACCATTGACTGGTTTAGAAGTTTACGATCGAGTGAAGAACATAAGCATTACATTTGGAAAGACCCAAAAAGGTCTTCTAACAAGAACATGTGGAAGAAGAGATCAATTTTCTTTGATCTTCCATATTGGAGCCATTTAGAAGTACGACATTGTATTGATGTTATGCATGTGGAGAAGAATGTATGTGATAGTCTCATTGGCACATTGTTAAACATTCAAGGAAAGTCAAAGGATGGGATCAAAGCACGTCAAGACCTTTGTGAGATGGGAATACGTCCTGAATTACATCCAAGGCCTGAAGGCAATAGAACATATCTACCACCAGCATGTCACACCTTGTCAAAGAAGGAGAAACGTAGTTTATGTCATTGTCTTGAAAGTATTAAAGTGCCACAAGGATACTCTTCAAATATTAAGAGTCTTGTATCCATGAAAGATCTGAAGTTAATTGGATTAAAGTCCCATGATTGTCACGTTTTGATGCAACAGTTGTTACCCGTGGCTATACGTAACATATTGCCTAAGAATGTTAGACATGTCATTATGCGACTATGTTTTTTCTTC